TTACAAATTGGTATCAAAGCAGTTCGAACCTTTGGGAGCCTAGGTTGTGCCTATGACCCACAGAGCCTAGGTTTATGAGACCTTAGGAATAAAATTGACTAGAAATTTAAAATTTTGGAAATGACAATGAGGATGTGAGATCTTGCATATTGTTGCATCATTATTGTGTCATGGTGAATTATTTTGATATTTTTTGTTTGCTAAAATATTTTGGAACATGGTGATTTTATTTGACAACAAATTTGATTATTTTTCTTAGTTGAGATTGTTGGATTATTTTGATAGTTAAGTTGCTTATAACTTGGTAGGACTTGCGTGAGTTTGCATGAAAGTTACGGGGACGTAACTTTATTTCTTAGGATGGGAGAATGTAATACCTAATCTTTGTGATGTACTTAACTTAAGTTTGAGTCTCTTGTTCCCTATTGGTTAAGTCTCCGTTATTCCTTGTTGCCTTATGGTTATGCTTCGGGGACGAAGCATCTTTTAAGGAGGTAAGATTGTAATACTTGGTATTTTTCTATGGTTATGCTTCGGGGACGAAGCATCTTTTAAGGAGGGTAGAGTGTGATACCCCATATTTTCTGGGCATTGTACGAGGACCGTACGTGCGTACATGACTAAATTATTTAGAGTTTCCTAATTTATATTATTATACGAATATTATTCTTTGAGCCTAATAGCTTCCTAATCCTGATATAATATGTAAACGCATATACTTTTCCTAATAATAAAGATTGTTTAAATATTTTCCTAAGCCTAATAATATTAATATATAAAACTTTTCTGATTATATACATATGTACATAGATATATGTTACAGATATAAAGATATATACATATTTACGTATGTACCTAAATTATAATATATATATATATATATATATATATATATATATATATATATATATATATGTTACGTATGTATATGTGTTAAGTACTAGTAGGCTAATATGAATACTAATATTATATTAAGCTTTTAAGTATTTTAGTTCCCTACAACTAGAATTATTATAATTTATAATACAAGTTATTAGTTAAGTATTTAAGTAGTAGTCTAATTGTTCCCATCCTCATCAGTAGCTGATTCATTAAATCCTCTCCTCTTGCTAACACAATACCGCCGAATAGAAAGGAAAAACAAAAAACAAAAACTTATTCCTCTTTGTCATCGATTCAATCATGATTGGTCTTGTTCCTCTATCATCATCAAATTCTCTCCTTTGTTCACCGTAGGGATTCAAGTGTTAATGTTAATGTTGGAATCCATGTAAGATTTATGTTCACTAAAATTTCTTTTGCCCCAAATCAAAAATCACTTTTCCTATGTGTTTATGTGATTCATGATTTTAATGAATATGTGATAGTTAACGTGAAAAGCTATTTGATTATATTATGCGAATAGATATATGTGTTTAGATGTTTTGAAACTGCATATGTGATATGGTGATTTTGTGGTGATTAAGAAGGATAAATTTTACACAATTTGATCATTGCCGGAGAAAATTCTGACTGGCGCATCTGGAAACAAAAATTCGTGAAAAATGCTTACTAAACTTATTTTTGCTTGAAACTTTTTCTGGAGAATCTAGAATTGATATAATTGATGTTTGTAAAAAGTTTTGGTTAAAAATATGTTTCGGTTTTTCCAGAAAAATTTCGTAAAGTGGAGGCAGTGTGCTGCCAGTTCAATTTTTGTTTGGCGCAGTGTTAGGAAATATTTCGGGAAAAATACTTCTAGGCATTGGATTGGCTTGAAAATTTTTGTGTGTAATCTAGACTCTTTTTACTACTTATCTGGAAAATTTCATATGAAAATACGTTACCAATTTTTCTCAGTAAATTCTGCAATTCAGGTCATAGTTTCTGAAATTTTTTGTCAGTTTCTTATTTGAGATATTGAGAAGTTGCTTGCTTGTGAAATATCATTACTGTTATCATTCTTATAAACATGGAGAGTTGTGTTCATAATAATTAGGTGTGGAATACGCTAATCTGTGTTATATCTATGAGGTTAATAGGATGTTTGGAAATATTGGTACAAAGGTTATAGATTCAGGTGTAAAGTTGAAAGTATTATTTGGTGGAAAGATTTTGCTTTAAGTGGTGAACTTTTAAGGTTTTAGATATATATATTTTGTCAATGGAAAGTGGTGCCATCTGGTGTTTTTGTGGAGTGAGCAGTTGGAATATACTGACTCACTTGGGAGCCTAAAAACTCTCTGTTTTGTGGAGTGAGCAGTTGAGATATACTGACTCACTAGGGGGTTTTATATTAACTTCCCTGTTGTTTTGAGGAGTGAGCATTGATGTAAAAGCTGACTCACTAGGGAGCCGTGAAAACTCCCTATTTATGAAAATCTATTTTTTGAGAATTTGAAAATCCTCCATTTGGTACCTATTTCTTCTTGGCAATTTATATATATATATATATCAAGTGTGATTGATTTTGAGAAATTTAAATGTGCTATTGGAAGATGTTCTCTTGGAAAGAGATAAATTGAGAGATTGGAATTCTCTCTTTGGTAATACTATTTTGAGGTTATGTTGAGACATTGAAATTATCTCTTTGGTTATTATTTTGAGAGTTTGGAAACTCTATTTGGTTATTATTGGAAATTATTTTGGTGATTATATTATGATTATGATTTAAAGAAATTGAGTAATGAGGATGTTATGAAATATTTTGAGGTTATGGGTGTATGGAAATGTTGATAAAGGTTATATGGGAATCTTGAGGAAAGAATAATGGTTGAATGATTTTTGGATTATGGATAGACAATGCCTTAGTCGTTTTGCTAGAGGTTGTTATGGATATTTTTGTATTTGGATGTGTGATTTCCTCAATATGTATTTTAAATGGTTAAAGTTAAGGATTATTGGTTTGTTGATGAAAATAAAAATGTTTAAGGGGTCATTCTAGAAGCAAACTATCTTCTCCTATATGTTACATGCTATGTGCAAAATGTTTTACGGGGTGAAGTAGATCTTACAAGCTTAATGCTGAATTTGTGTGTTTCTTTGTTTTCTATTCTTTAATTGTTTTTGCAGGAACTCTTGCATGAGCATTGGACATGAGAATGAGTGAACCACCTAGAGATATCATTTATTAGTTAGACATTTGAATTGTTAGTTGTTTTTGTACTAATACATATTTTGAGTTGTTTATTATTGTAAATTGTAAATTTAGCCTTAGCGTTTGGGTATAGAGAAATACGTGAGCGTGGCGGTAACACCCATTTTTCTTTTGGTTAGTTAATGCTTCCGCTATGATTTTTATGAAATTGTAAATTAAGATAAAAGAATTAAGGAAAATTTCGGTTTTGAAAAATGGGGGTGTTACAACTACAATGTAAACTATCTTAGATTATGCTATAGCAACTGTGCTGCCACACGGATGTCACTTTGTAGGATGAGGGAAGCAATCAATGACTGTACAAATGCAGCTGCTCTAGACCCTACTTTTCTCAAAGTAAAGCTAAGAGCTGCAAAGTAAGGCCTTAACATCTTGTCTTTTTTTTTTCTTCATCTTTGCTATTTAGTTGTGCCTACATTTTGTATAATCATATTGCCTGCATTTTTATATAGTACCATCAGTTGAAGAGGTAATGCCTGGCTAAGACAGTTACAGAAATTATCGCTAAGGCATTGCTTTTGATGCTGCAAGAAGTGCCCTGGAAATTATTGCTAAGGCATTGTCTATAAGCTGCTATTCAGAAAAGTTACTTGAAATGAAAGGAGGGGGTCTATGCAAGGTCTGTGCTATTACAGCTTATATAAGTACAAGACATCCTTTTACTATTGGGTGTCCTTTCTACTCCATTTAGACAATATCTATAATTATTATGATGTTTTACAATTTACAGTTGCGTATGTATGATGAGGCAATTAAGCTGTGTGAGTAGACTCTTGATTTTGCTGAAAAGAACTTTGCTTGCCATAACATGGAAAACATGAATAATTCTGTAAAGCTGTGGAGATGGCGCATTATGTCAAAATCCTACTATCATCTTGGGAAGCTTGAGGCAGCTCTTCATCTGATTGAGAAGCAAGAGCAAGTAGTTTTTGTCAAAGATGGGTAAATCTCTCTTTCTGTTCTGTTCTGTCAAAGAGCTGCAGAGGAGAGGGTGTTTTACTGTTTTGTCGAATTACCCATAAAGTTTTACTGTAAATGTGTTAATCTTCTGCTGTGATGAATTATAAATAAAATTCACATGTCAGACTTCAGAGACTTAGTCCATGAGAAGAAACTTTCATGTTTACTGAGCAGAACCTAATGATATTTCTGGGAAAATTTTTATGAAGATTTCTGTAATTCAGTTTGATACATCATTAAAACAAGAATGAAACAGTCTAGTACTTTGAGTCGTTATACTTATCATAATAAATATTGATTTTTTGTTAACATATTAACTGCATTGTTAATTTAAGTAAAGTATTTGTAAATTGGCATGAGCTTAAGAATGGTGGTTACTCCCCTATGATGAACTTTTTCAATTAAAATGTTAAAAGTAGTGGACTGAACAATATGCATTTTGAGGATTGATGTGAAATTCTGAGGGGTTTCATTGGAGCTATCTGTAGTTTCCTTAATTATGTATGAATTTCTCTTCTTCCTCTTCGAATTCATGCATGTAGTTTATTGTTAGTTCTACTTACTTTGTATTTGGGCTTAAAAACTAAATGCAAAATAAAATAAAGATATTAGTGTATAAAAAAGATTATATGCGTTTATTCTAGCTGCTTGTGATGTCAATGATATATAGCTTATTTGTTACTTTTCCTTATCTGGTTAAATCTTCAGTTTCAAGCACAGTTGGATATTTTTTGGTTGTTTCAAGAGACTGCCTATTTCAAACTTAATTTTCTGATTTGAGTTTGTTTGGATGCGGAATTATTATGTGTTGTTAGGACTGAGCTGAGTGGAGCTGAGTGGAGCTAGCAGTTGGATCAGTTGTCACCAGGGAATAAGACCAGGTGGATTACATGGACCATGATTATGATGTAAGCAAATTAGAAGATAGACCACCTGTTGTCACAATAATGGGCCATATAGATCATGGAAAGGTAAATAATCAAAGCTCATAATCTCAATCTTATGAATAATGAAATTATTATGTAACATCAATGAGGAGGATCTAGCTAATTTATGTTCCTGATTTTTTGCTTGACAGACAACTCTTTTGGATTACATTCGAAAGAGCAAGGTATATGTGCACTTCTGCCCCGTTATAATGCTTAGAAATCATGGTTTATTCATGACATAGTTATTCCTTTGGGGAAGCATGTTCTGACTATAAAGGTTGTGATTCATCATTTCATCTAGTGTAGTTGCGAACTGAACTCTAACTGGTAGATATTTAGGTGGCAGCATCTGAAGCCGGTGGAATTACTCAAGGAATTGGTGCATATAAGGTGAAGGTACCTATAGATGGCAGGCTCCAGACATGTGTCTTCCTCGATACTCCTGGACATGAGGTATGCTTAGCAATAATTTTGTTTCTGCATCCATATCTTTTACCCTGATTTGCTCTCACTATGGAACAAACATAGAAGATTAGACGGTAGTAGTTGACCTTTCCAAAGTGACTACTGATTATTACTCTGTATGACAGTTTGACTTACATTTGTTAATTCAAAGTTAAGCTTTGAGTATGACACCTTTGAGTAATTTAGTGTCCACCTGTTAATTTGATGAATCAACCTCTATTGTAAATCTTCTTGAATTGTGGCATTTGCCCTTATGATTGTAAGGCATTTGCCCTTGTTTTCTTTAAGCCATGGGTCACTTTTGGACATATGGCATCTCTTGTAAAAGCCTTGTGTCTCTTTTGTGTTGAATAAAGTTTAAGTTCGAAAAAAAAAAAAAAAAAAAACTTTTCCTTTTGACTGTAATTTTTTCTTTTATATATATATATATATATATATATATATATATATATATATATATATATAGGGACGCACTCAGGTGCGAATAAGTGCCAAGGAAGGAAGTGCGAACGAATCAGCGCGTGACACGTGTCCAGATCTAATAACTTAAAAAAAAAACGCGGTGGCATTTTCGTAAATAATTGAACATCGAAGTGCAAGTAAAATCTCTTATAAGTGCACCTATTTTCACCTATAAGTGCATGTAATTTTGCCTTGTTAGCATTCACTTTCCGCAACCATTCATGCACCTGGGTGTCCTTATTACTATATGTGCAACTATTTATAACTATAGGTGCAACTACTTATAACTATATGTGCACCTACTTTCACCTATAAGTGCATGTAATTTTGTCTTGTTAACATTCATTAATCTGAGTTCAGCGGGTAGTAATACTCCTGAAAACCACTCGCAAACATTCATACACCTAGATGCAACTACTTATACCTAAGTGTGCAACTACTTAGAACTGTAGGTGCAACTAGTGCAACTAAGTATTGATGCTCAGTGTAAATTTTTACTTGCATCTATAATACATTTTACATGCACTTGTAATACATTTTCCTTGCACTTCGATGTTCAATTATTTACGAAAATGTCACCGCATTTTTTAAAAAAATCAGTGTTTCTCATCCATTAGATCTGGACACGTGGACGAACAGAATCCATTCCTATTTCGCGCCTGGGCGAGCCGTTCGCACCCGAGTGCAACTATATATATATATATATATATATATATATATATATATATATATATATATATATATATATATATATATATATATATATATATATTTATTTATTTATTTATTTATTTATTTATTTATTTATTTATTTATTTATTTATTTATTTTTATTTATTTATTTATTTATAAATATTTATATATATTTAATTATTTATTTATTTATTTTTAAAAAAATGGTAACTTTCCGAGACACCCACTTGTAAGTGGGTGTCTTGGAAACAAATTAATAAAATAATAATAAAGAACTATCCGAGGCACCCACTTGTAAGTGGGTGTCTTGGAAACAAATTAATAAAATAATAATAAAGGACTATCCGAGGCACCTGCAGCGGAGCAGGTGCCTCGGAAAGTCCGTATTAAAAAATTAAAAAAAAAAATCATTTTTCGCTTTCCGAGTCACCCTTTACGGGTGACTCGGAAAGCGGAGGACTTTCACAGTCTCCAATATCCGAGTCACCTGTACAGGTGACTCGGAAAGTGTTTTATGGGAGACTCTAAAACCTTTTTTTGTACTAGTGAACATTCTAACATTTCTACACATTTCTACCTATAAAACAATGACTTCACAGAGCCAAAACTAAGATGGGAGTCCATGGGGTTATACCTCTTCTTGTTCTCCTTCTTGTTGGGATTCCTCATTCTTCTCTACTTAGCTAGCACTTCCTTCACCACCTTAATACCTCAAACAACCAGACACACGCAATGCTTAAGAAGACTCAGAGGTTGGGAGGTAAAAGGAAGAACAAATGATCCAAGAAGATGAAATGAATGGAGGAAAATGAGGTTTAGAATGCTTACTGTGTTTCTTGTTTCCTTGGCAGACTTGGAGAGTGGAAATGAGCAAATGAAAGAGATCAGGAGAAGAACAAATGGTAGAGAAGGTTATATAGGCCCAAAACCCTAGGAAACTTGCCAATGATTGGTGGAGGGCAAAATGGTAATTAGTAAGGCTAGAAGATGGAATCAGATAAGTGTTGTAAGCTTGTGGTCCACCATACTTCATGAACCAAAGGCTAGAATCAGGAATTAAAATAGTTTGGGGTCAAAATACATTTTTCCAAAAATACTTTGTAGACAACCACTTTGTTTAGGTTTCTCAGATTTCTCCCGGTTTCACTCAGATTGACTTTTGGATCGAAAACTTGGTACGCGATGTACCCAAAAATTTAGGATTTTAGATTTAAAATAAGTCCTGGTATTGAATTTATTTAAAAGTAGCTCAAAATAATTTATTCAAACACCAATTTTATCGCCAATTTTTTTTATGGAGTGAAAATGGCTATTTTGGAATTTCTTAAAATCGGATATATAAAATTAAATTTTGGGTTGTCACATGTGGAGAAAAATGTATGTGATAATCTTGTTGGAACTCTTTTAGATATAAAAGGTAAGACTAAAGATGGACGCAATGCTAGATTAGACTTGATTGAAATGAACATACGAGCTACATTAGCTCCACGCCAAGGGACTAAGAAGACATATTTGCCTCCAGCTGCTCATACTTTATCAAGAAAGGAGAAAATATGTTTTTGTGAGTGTTTACGTGGAGTCAAGGTACCACAATGGTATTCATCAAATACTAGAAAACTTGTGAATATGCAAGATTTAAAATTGGTGGGGTTGAAATCTCATGATTGTCATGCCTTAATGCAACAACTATAGGCAGTGGTTGTTTGATGTATATTGCCTAAAAAGTTGAGATATAAGGCTTTGTTTCTTTTTCAATGCTATCTGTGGAAAAGTTATTGATCTAGACAAATTAGATGAATTGGAAAATGGCATTATTATTACATTGTGTCAGCTAGAGATGCACTTTCCACCTTCATTTTTTGATATCATGGTTCATTTGCTTGTACATTTGGTGAGAGAGATCAGACAGTGCGGTCTTGCTTATTTGAGGTGGATGTACCTATTTGAACGGTACATGACAGTCTTAAAAGGTTATGTGAGGAACCGATATAGACCAGAAGCATCTATTGTTGAAAGCTATATTGCTGAGGAGGTAACTGAATTTTGTATTGAATACTTGGCAGAGGTAGAAGCTATTCGTCTTTCTAAGTATCGACATGAAGGAAGAATTGTTGGGAAAGGTTAACACCCCGTATTACGACCTTCAAATCCGAATTAATTATTAAATTAATCCCGCCAATTAAAATAATTAAAAGGAATTTAATCCAATTATAATCCCCTTAATTAACTTAGGTGGTCCACAATGGATCGTGGACCCTTACCTGAACAAGGAACCTTAAACCCATATGGAATGGGGGAAAGCGGACCTTATTACTCAGACCTTGAATAGGTTTCTCTTAGACATATAAATAGGAGATTATGAAGCAGATAGAACACTTTCTCTCCCTTCCCTCACACGAAATCACTCGTAGGAACCCCAGCCAAGGAATTCCTCCACCAACTAGCCTAGGAAGGACAATCGGAAGAAGAATCTTAGAGAAGAACCTTAGTAGTCAAGGATAGTGATTAGGTCTAAGAGGTAACCCATATCTCAACAAAACCTATTTTCCTCGCTATATCTTATTCATTGGCTCCTTTGATATATGATTCTGTGCTTAAGTTTTGATATAGCTTTTCCTAGGGCTTATATTGTGTTTATGTGTTAATCTTGATGCTTATGTGATAATCTTGACGTTCTTGATACTATGATAAATTATATGAATGATCTTGTATTTTGATTGTGTCTAGAGCCCTAGGGTTATAATGTGGAATTTGTATTATGATGTTCTTGGTATATTTGGGTGGAATTTCGCATGATCGGGTGTTGAGTCTAGCCTAGGACTTTCAATATAGATTTCTTGATGTTCTTGTGATTTCGGATATCCCTGGATCGTTATATGGTTTATTTTGAGTCTTGGCATGTTTAGGAATCATGTTAGGATGTATTTGGTGTGATTCTTAGTTTAATTCCGTTAATTGAATACGTGGTGTTGTCGTGATGTGTTTGAATGTGTTTGGACATGGTTCCGGGTTACACGAGAGATCCTGGGACCTTAATATTACCAATGAGTCAGTGGGGGTTGGTGGGGGCAGGTGTGCCCGCCACCTACCCGCTGCCCTTGCCCGATCTACAGCGGGCAGCCGACTACCCGCCGGGCACCCACTGGATTGTGGACCGCCGCTGGCGGGTGGCCGGCGGGTGGTCCTCCACCCGCTGCCCACCCGCTGGAAATTGGCGGTGCGTCGTGATGTTTTCCCTCGTTTGTTGTTTCCCCGTGTCCCGTTGTACCCCGTTTGTCGTGTATAAGTCTCGTTTGGTGTTTTAGGCATCGTTCTAGGATTTTATGTGTGATACTTGTCGTTGTTGTTGTGTCTTGCTTTTTATGTGATTATGTGTTGATTGATTGATGATGATGAGTATCGTGGTCATTGCACAATGGCCAGTGTGACTGATGATGATGATAATGATGATAATGAGATTGTGATTGGTGGAAAATAAACTGTTGGCGGTTGGCACCACTTGTGCCTGGTCATTGTACTAAAGGTATAGGCCATAGCAGTGACTGTGCTAAAGGCACACACCCACCTTCGACTTGCTTGCTTTAGGCATGGGTCAGGTTATAAGTGTTGCGGTGTCATGTTAGAGCTATACGCGCTAACCCCTTGATATTGGCACTAGAGGTGCAGATCATTGAATGGCACTGCGGCACCATCTTGATATGTTGGTGGTTTAAAGGTGGTTTGTCGGTGGGGGCATGTAGTTGCCCGGAAGCATAAGGGGTGGGGATATAAGGGTGGCCTGGAGGTATAGGTTGGAACTGATATAAGGACGGAGGGGAGCTACAAGGTTGGAACTTGGTATAAGGTTGGAGGATGAATTGTGTGCTTTGTTGACTACTTGCTAATTGATTGTATTGAATGCCTTAGTGCCTCTACTCGTTACTTGCATGATTATCTGCCTGTTATGTCTTGCATTGCATGTTTAGGTCACCTAATAATTCTTATGATTATTCTATGATATTGAGTCTGTTAATATGCCCTGAGTCTTGATCTTGGATTTAAACTAGAGTCTCGTAAGTATATATGTATTCCAGTTTCAAAATGATTTTCTTATATCTATCTATATTGTGCTTAACGCGTTGGAGTGGGTTACCAGCATTATTCACTGACGGTTGTTATACCGAATGTTTTTCAGGGACAGTGAGTAGCTTTGGAGCGCGCTAGTGGATTCGTGGACTTTGTTTAGATAGTTCTAGCCTGGATGAGATGACCTGCGTGCCTTGATTCGTATTTGGGTATTAGTTATGGTTTATGCTTTGTTAGTTAGTTTAGCCTGTGCATCTGAGTTCTCAAGCTCAGATGTGGCATAGCACCCCGACTACTATGTCTAGTTTATGCTCTGTTTTGGAATTAATAAGAGATTAGCCTTTACTTTATAGGTTTTATATATCTCAAAATTTAGGGGTGTTACAAAGGTACTTGAGGAATCAAAGTGCACACTATGCCTCGTGAAGATGTTGAGCAAGAACATTTGTACATCTTGCATAATACAAATGAAGTCGAGCCATATTTAGAAGAACACATGGCCTTGATTAATGAGCAAAATCCAAGAAGGGCAGACATGTGGATTGTGAGCGAACATAATCGTACTTTTATTAGTTGGTTCAAGAATAAAATCTTGAGAGATGATAGCTATTATGAAGTTGTACGATGGTTAGATCATGGTCCTGGTATGCAAGTCATAGGTTATACTGGATATGATATAAATGGGTTTTCTTTTTACACAAAAAAAATAAGATGAAAAGAGCACTATGCAAAACAATGGAGTTTCTTTGGTTGCAAATTCAATGCACTTCAGTAGTCCGAATGATAAAAATCATGTGATTGCAGAGTTTTCATATTATGATGTGATTGAAGAAATATGGGAGGTTGATTATGTTCAGTTTAGAGTGCCGATGTTCCGATGTAAATGGGCAGATAGTAAACACAGTGTTAAAGCTGATGAGTTAGGATTTACACTTGTCGATTTGAACAAGGAAGGTCACAAAAATGAGCAATTCATAATGACATCTCGAGCAAAACAAGTATTTTATGCTATTGGTCCTTCTGATAAAAAATGGTTAGTTGTTCTTCATGGAAAGAGACAAATTACTGGTGATGGGAAGGGAGATGTTAATTTTGATATTAAGGAAATACCACCTTTTTCTCCAAGTTTATTGCTAGTTACTATAGATAATGAGATAGATGAAGTGCATACATCATGGGATGATCATCATGAAGGGATATGGGAGCATTGATTATTACTTGTAATACTTTAACTTCTTCTCGTGTTTACTATATCTAAATATTTACATTTATATTTATGTATATTATTTTTTTTGTCATTTACTATAATTTCTTTGCTAAACAGACATATGGATTCATCAAATCATCTCACTATTGACCAAATTAAAGGTACAAATACCATTACTAAGAAGAGGAGTGCCACTCAACTGAAAAAATTAATTTTAGGGTGTGCTATCGAAAAGAAGATGGTATTTCAATTTGATGGATTGGATCCTGTTGGAGAAAACAACGCCGAATTCAAAAGTTATGTTGCGTTGTTAGCACAAAGCAAAGTTCATATCACATATGGTTCAAGGCATGACGGGTTAAATTTTTCCTTAGCAAAACATTGTACTGTTAAATTATTCGACTATTACTGAAAAGGCTTGACTTGTGTACGCAGGCATGTCGAAAAATTGGCTGGTCTTGCGGGCTAAGTTATGTCAAATTTTTGTATAATTTTTTCAACTCAGAGCCACTGTCTGAGTGTAAACTGTTGACTATTCGATGTGGTTGACTATTTGGATGTTGATCGAACAGGTGACCATTTGTAACCTTCACGCAACTATTTGTGGTTACTACTCGAACTACTATTCATGGGTACTGCTCGAACTACTCTTCGGAGTATCATATATTCTGGAAGTGTTAATTCTGAATTCATAAAAATTAATTTTGAATTAATTTCAATTTATATTTAAGAACGGTCGTAACGATTGTGTTAAACTCTAGATTAAAGTTGCTGTTAAGGGGGGTTACATATCTAAAATTATTTCAGATGTTAATGCCATTATTAATGCTATTAACTCTTCATTCTCCTATAAATACTTGATGTTAGGCAAAGTGCACATTGTTGAGCATTCCAGAACACATTCTTGAGCCTTCCAGTGTACACTGTTGTGCCTTCTAGGAGACAATTTTGTGCTTTCCATGATTTGAACAGAATGCAAAAACAGTAGATTAGAGATGGTTTACTGGAGAAGATGGTTGGCGTCGTCGTGCATGTAGATTAGAAGCGCTATTTTTTATTTTTATTTTAGAGCTGTTGACATGGGCTATTTTTTATTTTTATTTTAGAGCTGTTGATCTGGACAGATCAAAGGCTGAGATTTCTCCTCACTTACGCACCTGAGCCCTTTCTGCTCACTTATGGACTTGAGACCTTTTTCCACCAGAGCCTAAGCCTATACAGGGCCGGCCCAGAGGGGTGGGCAACATGGGCACCCGCCCAGGGCCTAATGTTGAAAGGGGCCCCCTAACTTGGATTTTTATTTTTTTGATAAAGCTAAAGAAAAAAATTTATTGTATAAGCAAAGATTTGAACCCACAACTTCAAAATTATTATTTAATATTAAATCGGGTTAACCATTACAATCATTTAATATAATAATTCAATTAATAGATACTCCGTATATATATTAGAGAATGTTAAATTAATTTATTACTTAAGGATTAGTCCAATTGATTTTTTAAAAAATAAAGTCTTACAAAAATTATATGTCGATAAAAATTCAAAGTTATCATTGAATTATTTTCAATTAACACAATCTTTTGAACTATATATATAAACATTTTAACTTTATATCAGTGTTGCAAAAATCGCGCCTAGGCGCCGATTAATCGGATCGGCGCCTAGGCGCTAGGCGATCGACCTCCTAGGCGCCCGCCTAGGCACTCTAGGCGACCTAGGCGGTCCCCAAGCGCCTAGAGAGCGCCTAGCGATTTTTTCAACATTGCTTTATATATTAAGGGCCCTTGTGTTTACTTTGCCCCAGGCCTATAAAATGATAGGACCGGCCCTGAGCCTATATATATATATATATATATATATATATATATATATATATATATATATTGGTACATCAACTGATCAACTTATTCACCGCGTACATAAGTTTGATTTATCATATGGATCGGTCTCCTCGATCTAGCTTTTCATAATCCTTGGTATGTGTAAAATAAGTGGTGTCCGGAGGAAGATGAGTGCATATATATAAATAAATAATTGTTTTATGGAAATAAATAGCAATAGTACGTACAGTAGACAACAAGATGCAGGAACATGCTAAGGGTATGTATATACATTTGTTTGGTGTTGTATTTGTGTTACCACGTACACTAAGTTACGTTCCACATGCATTAATTTATATATGATTGTGAATTAGCAGTGGCATCGATCATTATTGTGTTGGCTATAATTTGTTGGTCATATCAAAACTCGATCTTAATGTTAAGCCTCAACAGCTGAAGCAGATCAAAAGCAAGCTAGCTACTGTAATGCTAGCTTGTGTTTGCATGCATTGATTTGATATCGATCTCAACTTAAAAATGCAAATGCATGGTGACTCTTATCTGATCTTTTTCAAATGAAAGTATAGATGTTTGGCGGGCCACAGCCATAAGTGCTGCTGCGCTGCATCAAAAGCAATCCAATCAAGATCGAGTCAGTACATACGTGCTAATATAGGCCGGGAATTGAATATAATGGAAATAAATGCTGCTGCATGTGAGAGATCGGATTGAAGACATTGAGAAAGTTAAAAATGGTTCAAGCTAATTAGGCTGCAGGTGATGATGGATGAGGGAATTGAGCTCGATCTTTCTGCTCCATCCATCTCGCTTATGCAACTCCTGGATTGGATTCAATTGGCCTGCAGGTTGTGATGCAAAGTTGAACTTGAATTGAAGTTGAAAGTTTTGAAACTTATAGTATAGTAGCTGCTGCAGATCGAGCTGGAACACAGCCGGCAGGCAGATGAGACACCGTACCAGCTCATCGTCTATCATAAATAAATTGGAATCTGAGTCCTTCAATTCATTTCTGATTAAGTTGAAACATTATTAATTCCAATTCCAATATTTAATTTAATGCTAAGCTAGCTGCGTACGTAGTCTGAGTGAGTACCAAGATGCATGCATGCTAACCCTATAAGCTTCGCTTTGCTTTTTGGTACCATATGGGAATGATCGATGATATTAGAATTTAGCTACCTAGGTTTACTACTTACTAGCCGGTCCAGTCGTGCGCAATATTGAATTGGCTGGCTATCGACACAATTTTCACTTTTCAGTTGATATCTAAATTAATACAGTCCACAGGTAAGAATAATCATGAAAGTGCACTGCTATTAATTTTGAAGGGCCAAAAGTGGAATTAACACTTACCATATCACACGCATGGGTACGGTATTTTAAAGTTATAATAAAGATGTTTAGACAGAGGAATAACAGTGCAGTTCCAATAAACAAGTTACAGTTTCAACATTGGCTTGGCTGGAGTGAAACAAGCCAAGCCTGCCATAGTCAGGTAGCAGATAAAGAAGCACTGAACTACTCACTCAATCCGTGCAGTATAAGAAAGAAGCACTCAATCTCCACTAGCACAACCTTTGCAACCGCAATGCACACATTCTATAACCTTCTCTTCCCTTAGATGCTTAGGGACTCTGCAAACACATGTTGTTTGGAAGTTGTGATCCCGAGGTTGCATGCACCTCAAACAACACAGCCGTTCGTAGCCAGGCTGCAATGCAAACAAAAAACCAGTTAGAAGAATTCATCATCTTTCCCCCTCCCTGCTGTATCATCTTCAGATTTTAAGGCCAAAATTTAGCATATCTATATAATATATTATTCACACATAACCACGTAGTAAATGCCGTCTGATCCAACCACACCTTTTTCCACTTCGCGATTAAATTACGGTCTGCATAACCCTGATCCAAGCAGAACTCAAATAATTCCTTGGAGATCTCCTTCCTCCTGTGGTAAAGGTCAAAAATGTAGCGGCTCTTCTGATGACAAATTTTAAAGATAGGCCATAAAGCCTCACACTTTCTTTTTCCATCATGCGGGTCATTCTCCGCTGTTCCCAAAAATTACAAAAAAATTAATAATACTGCTTTTCAAACTTCAAAAGACCAATGTCAAAAACAATAGGATAAGAAGAGGAAAATTCAAAGTCAATGTTATGCAATCAAACCTTCTCTCATCTTGGCTTGTAGTTCATTTAGAGTAGGCTCAATCAATTCCCATCCCTCTGGGTACCTGACACGGTTTGTCTTCACCTTTGGCATGCTTTTATCTGCTATTTAAGTGCCCAAGCATTAGAGAACATGGCATATTTACATGCAAGCTAAGATCTGTATTCTGTGTCATTTGAGAGAATTTATTTATTTTTTCTTTAAAATAATAAAAAGCTTTGCATGACTGAGTAGCAAAAGAAGCATTCATGACACAAGTATCATATCCAAGAGAAAATCCTTCTGAGATCAATAAGACACGCCTTGAAGATGTCACATTCACCACATTAAGTATAAGCAATCACCCAATACACAACAATGAAACTGAGTTACAATGTTACATATTCAAAATTGGCAATAAAGAAAAACTGCAAGTTTGCAAAGCCATTTTAAAATCAACTGATTCAATAGGAAAGTTCCTAACGGAGAAAGGCATGGGGCTCCAATGTTTTTCTGTATCTATACTAGATTGGCTGGTTAAGTCTAGATCAGGTTTTGTATATCAATATGGAGGAAGAAGACTAAGAATACATGTCATCCCAATGGAGATTATAAATTTTGAACCATTATGGAGGAAGTTGGCAGGTCTACAATGCAAAGCACATGCATCATTGAAGTGAAATGGGCATGAAGGATAGTTTTAACAAATATACACAACTAACACTACATTGATTTAGCATAGAATCTCTGACTTTGAAAAATTGTCCTTATTTTTCAAGTTTCTTGATAGCATTATGCCCTTAAAAAAAACAGAGAATTGACCAGAAGAGTGAGTTTATTTTCAAAAAGATTTCATTAACTATTGGAAAGCAATGGAACCTAGGACATAAACATTCAAAATAACATCAGTGAATTAGCAATATCCATTAGTAAATTCTATTTCAACCCCAAGGAGAAAACTAAACAGTTTTGCAGAGAGAGAGAACTCAGTATGGCACTAAAAAGGACTCCAAATCCACTGCACACACAAATATATACACTACATACAGTATAATAATTGCAAGACAAGACCCTATTCAATGCAATCTTTAAGCAAACAAACAAGAAACACTAACCTATCCACAAATACAGAGTCAACATAAGGAAAGAAAGAAAAAAGGATTAATCAGAACAAAGAATGTATGATATAAACTTCATTTTAGTGAAACCCTAACATTCCAAATTCTGCTCACCTAATGATTTGACTCAATTCTCATCAAATTCTTCACCTAAAGAACAGTATCCTCTACATAAATGTTCAAAGGCTCAAACCCAATTAAGAAAGCAAAATTGCTATTCAAAGTCTTGAAAACTGCATAAAGTAAAAGCATGGAAATTCCAGCCTTCACGATGTAGAAAACTAGAAATACCAGATGTAGAAAAATCCTAATGCCAATGATACGGACAATTACAGATATTAGAATAATTAGAAGTAGAATTTGGAAGCTTCTTTTCAAGCTCATAAATCCCATCTTTCAAGAATCAAGAACATGAATACTGATAAACCACAGGTGATAAGAGCCTAAGAAACACCTACATTGAATTTGGAAGTGAGACCTTATCGGCTGTCGCAGGGGAGAAGGAATCTTCCGTCTTCGTCCTCGGCTGCAGCTGCTCGCAGATTCGCAGGGAGGGCGTTACTGCGAGAGGCGGTGTGATTTTAGAAATTAGAACTTTTTAGGTTTTAGATTTTGGGGATTTGAA